CAAAAAGTACACCGTTAAATGCAGGATTATTTTCATTTCAACCCTAAACATTACGTTTAAACGCAAAATGTATTGCGTTAAACGCAAAAGTTTTGGTCAATGCGCTTTTGCATTTAAACGGAACGTTATGCAATTAAACAAATTCTTTTGTCTGTAAGAAATTACTCAAAATACTTCGAAACTTAATTTTCCTATTCCCTGTTTAATAAAAAAGTCCCTTTTACTTTGTGCAAGAACATCTTATGGGACTTAAGTTAAGAATCTTGTAGAAAATTATCAAGGGGGAATGGTACATTGTAGAATTTGTGTACACGTACGTAGCTTGTTTCCTTAAACAGGTCGAGATCACTACCGTTTATGGAAGACAATTTTCAACACGTGACGATGTCTTCGTCACACCCGTTCTCCAATCAATTGAATTAGTCCCAAAGCATGACACTGTACTACGTGTTTACGATTCAATGGCGACACGTGGTTTTCGTCGGTTTACTGCACGTTATTTAACTCGCCACCGGAAAAAAATGTAGAGCTTCTTTATCACTTTATAAGACTGAAAGATAATATTCTAAAGACATTGCTCCATGCTCACATTTGATATTGGAGTTGTTTTAGATAATTAATAGTTTCTTTGAATATCGTACAAACGCTTTGACGTTTGCATGTACATAAAACATTTTCTGATAATATTGAGAGGTAAAATAATATTGCACACCTTCTCCTGCTGTCATAAACCAAGGACCTATATATACTACCTGCTAAAACTATGTACACGATTATTACGTGAAAAAAACTCAAATGTTTTATCGACACGATAGCACAGGTCTACGTCTTTTTGAACAATGGTTTAGGTCCATGTATTATAAGTTGATATAAGGCTTATAAAGCAAATTGTGTAAATGTGAGCATAAAAATGAAAAGTTATATATCATTATAAATATTTCTTACACAAATCTCAAAAAAGAATTGAAAATAAGTTTCCGAGGGACAATTCAAGTTGCCCTCTATTTTCAACACAGCTGGGTACTTGTAGCTCATTCAGCAGTAGGTAAAGTAAACAGATAGCTAATTTACATGCAAATTTATGCTGACATCAGTGGTCTCGACTTGTTAAAAGTAAGGTATTTTTCGTTCAAACGCATTACGTTTTGCGAATTAGAGTTTATTGTTTGTTTGCTTTCTGTTGTCAGTCGGTCAGATTCTGCAATGCAGCATGTTGAAACTCTTGAATTCGCTCATGCAGAGTTTGCAATTGAAACATCTGTTTTGGTTTAAAAAAACCAACCCTGTGTTTGCCTAGACTTGTGCATGAATCGGTTTTGATTTGTTATATAACGGCAAATTCATATAATATTAAATGATTCACTGTACAGTGCTAACTGGCAACATTGTTATACATTATGTAAACGACAAAATGAAAGGCGTGATTAATACAGCACAAAACTGCAAAATTTATTTATAGGCCTTGAGTGAGATTTATTTCCATATATAAAAATATTCAGCGATGCAATCGTGAAAGAAAACAATATTTAACTAAAAATATAAAAGTGCAGACATTTTTTCTCTCTTGCGCGTACATGACTGGCGTTTTATTTAATAGACATTGCGTCAAAATTTTCGATTAGCTAAAATAAGATGTAAAAAAAAAAACCAGTTTATTCTTACTTTTGTTGTATTTGCTGAATGTTCATATAGAATGCATTATATAAAACTACGTGAGTAATTTACGTAACAAAATGCATAAATACATGTATATCCTTGAGTGGAACACGGGTGTTTATTCGAGGGTTAGAAACGTTTTGAAGATATGCAGAAAACGCAAAATGAGGATACATCAACAAACAATCATTGTGGCAACACACTTTTAAAAATTACGCACTTTGAAAAAAATTAAAATGCGTTATAAGTTGGCAAAATTCAAAGCACTTTGAAAAAAAACAACAAGTGTGTATGAGTGTACATCAACTGTTTTTTTTTACCATGGAGACTCGTAACACATTTTGAAAAGATATGAAAAAAATAAAATTTCCAGACATACATTTCAGTAATTGACAGCACTTTTTTCTTTGATGAAACATCGATCGATTGATCTCACGTGATTCCTCATCGAGAGTCAGAAAAAGACAGGTAGAAGGGCCCTCATCCCATTTTCTATATCTTTCCTACACAGATATTACGCATCCATATATTTTTTATGAATTTAATTTAAGGCTAAGCATTTTTTTAAAATGAAATAAGCTTTCCTAACAAATAAAAATAACACACCCTATTGTATTATAAAAGAAATGCTCAGTGGGCATATCATTGAATAACAGCCAATTGAGTTAACCTTTGCCAAAGTAACGTTAGAAAATTATATACATGTACATGTATAAGTCAAAAATATATGTACAATGCATGAATATTTATTCATAATTCTTAAAACTAATCCATTTTATAATTGTAGAAAAAAGTCCATCAGCTTGATCAGGAGTAAGAAAAATTATACTTCGAAATACTTATCAAATGCCTATGAAAAGCCCGCTATGTTCTGTTGGAAAATTATTTTATTTTAATAAAAAATTTCAATTTGGACTCCATTTTGTCGCATTTACAGTAAATTGCAAATCCTGAATGAGGTCATCAACGAAATGTTATAAAACCAGGTTCAAACTATTATTTGTTATACCAGGTATCTAGAATTTGCATGAATATTGACTACTTTAAGACGTGTACATTGTTTTCACAGTGCGTTGATATGGTCGATATTAACGCACTTTGAAAATTAAAAAAATAATTTTTTTCAAAGTGCGTTAACTTGGTCCATTTTTTTTATCTATTAGAAAAGCATTTAATTATGATAATTTCAGGTATTTGTTGCTTTAGATCTAGATTGCCTGAAGAAATCAATTACAATAAAAAATGTATAAACCTATAAGTCGGTATATTTTGGTCTAAAACTCCGTTTCCGACTTGTTTTTTTTTTCAGAAAACAGAATGGATTTTATAAACAATCCCACCGATTATAGATAAACAAATTCAGTCTTTCTATACCAAAGCATTTATGTGTTCTTGGATTATGCATAAAATGCAAGTATTTAAAAAGTTTGATAGTTTTATTTATATCTTAAGAATACGTTCCTTATTTTTTTCTGATTTGAAATTGTGATTGAAATGAGGTTGAATCACAATGGGCATTGATTTGAAATCGTCAACAAATTCTAGCAAAATGTTCAAACGACTGCTAATCGGGTAAAGGCCTAATTCCTCTAAAATACCTGCAAAAAATACAACCGACTTATAGGCGGACCAACTCATACGGGAGTTTATACTAAACGGTATTCCCCCAGCGGGCACACAACGTTGTTTAAACGTTGAATATTAGTTGAAGTTGGGTTAAGACATTGATAAATCTAGATACAATATTGATTCAACGCTGCCTTTTCAACGTTGAACATTTAACCTTGAATCAACATTGAATTCAAACTGAGCTTAATTGCCAACATTGATACAACGTCGGATCTTCGCTGAGCGGGCCAATCCGATTTTTTGCTGATAGATAATTTGGACTATGATAGTGTCGGACTATAACACTGTCGGACCATAACGAGGTCGGACTTGACAAAGTCGCACTACCGTATATCATTACTAACTATTATAACTAACAAGGATGGTAGATATAGAAATTTTACACATTCAATGATAAATATGAATTCAGTACGAATTTGCCAAAGTACAAATTAAGAGGATACGCTGTAGGGCATCCGGAAAATATTCAAAAAGACAGCATAACACAACACTCAGGACTCAACATGAAGATTTAATTAAAAAAATTATTTTTTAAAGAAAACATTTCGGCATGTCAGAGTACTAGTATCATTGAAGAGACATAATTTGTCGAAATGCATATCTGGTGCATCAAAAGTTGTACCGTATAAGATCTGCATCTTACATGTACCCTGGAATGGTTTCATGTTTTGGACTATTTCATGACCACATTTGAAAATACAAAACGTTCGTAAATGCTCGGGTTTTGTAACATAATTAATTTATAAAATGTATTTTGGTGAAAATCATTGTAACACAATTAACTATTGATAGGAAATTAAACACTTACTGTTTACAATATATAATTTTTTTCATAATTTGGAGATATACCGTATGTTTTCATTTAAGGGGTCCCGACCCTCTGCTATAAATTTCACCTTAGAAAGTTTTAAATTTGTAATATTGATTTTCATAAACAACAATAACATTAGAGACACATGGAAAATAGTTTGAAGTATAAAGCGCTGCTTATTTTTTCAGAAATGATTTTTATGTGCAGATCATGAAATGAAGAAATTGAACACAAGAAAGAGTAATGATTTATTACAACAACATTAAAATATAATAATTGAGGTTCATATAAAAATAATACTGACTATTATACCTCATACATCATGAAGCGATGTTTCCTAAGTCAGAAAATCACAATGTTGTATGTGGTTGTAAGAAAAAAATATATCTGTGATGAGGAGTTATCTTTCTTCTAAATATTTCTTCATGTGAAAAAAAAATCATTCTAAATAAAATACTGTTTTAAGTACTTGAAATTTTAAACCATTTTTAAAATGGTACTTAAAAAGATACAACTTATTCAATTCATAAGGCATTTAATGTTGGATTTAAATGTTTTATTGTTAAATATAATAAAACAATTACAAAGAAATTTGCAAAAGAAATAGAAAGTAATGTTTCCATCATATGTTTAGTCTCATCAAATTGACTACTCAAAGGTGCCAGGAAACTGATAAAGAAAACTGTGAGTAGTATTACAATTTTGTACTTTGAGATTTATCCGTCTTATCAGAGGGTCGCTATCCCTTCAAAAATTATGAAGGCATCTTAGCAACTGTACAATAAAACGGTTGAAATTTTAATTAAGTATATTATTACTGTATGACACCCCTCCCCCTTTCCAAAATAAATAATTGATTACATGTTGAATCAACTGTTTTTCAACATATAATCAACGTTGATTATCAATGTTGATTCAATGTTAAGACTTCAACGTTGATAAAAAATTTCAAAATCTAACATAAAATTAATGTTGAATCAACATAGAAAAACAACGTTGATTCAAAGTTTATTCAATGTTGTACATGTGTGCCTGCTGGGCCCTCTCCCCATAACATTTAATGTATTTTTAATTATCTAAATTTATCAAAACAAAATCAATCAATTTGAGAGCTTAAAACCGTGTCTTCGCTGCTCTTATTTTGTATAGTTTTACGAACTTATGATCTTGAAAACCATTCATTATCTCCATAATTACGTTTCATGAAAAACAGCTTTGGCTACTCATAATTTATGCTAAATATATTTATTCTTGAAACTTTTGTTTAAGTATGGATTTGCGTAACGATGTAATGAATATATTTTTTTCTTTATGATTATTATTATCTAAACATCTGACTCATATTTCTACAAAAATAATTTATCTAATTCAGTATCCGGACGATTTTTCATCGGAACGAAATTTTTAAATGTTATTTTGTCTTGTTTAACCGGTGATTCAGATATCTAGATGCTTCACATATCCGGACAAATTGACTGGGAACCAAAGCGTCCGGATAAATGAGGGTCCACTGTATTATGACATGCATATTTTAAAAAAACAATTACTGGTTCATTAATTCTCTGATTGTTTCCTCTCTGAATATAAAATACTCCATGTATAGTATTGATCCTTCAATTTGATGTTGTAGATGTAATAACATTATATACATATTAAAACTAGTGCTTGATAAAATACACTGATTAATATTTGCTTAGTTTTCTAGATCTTTCGAATTTCTGTATTTCGTGCAAAAATAAAAATTCGGATAGGATATCACTTTCCTTATAAATATATATATTTCCTTATAAGTATATAGAATTGCTACTTCTGAATCAGTATTCTGGCTCGTCATATCTTTCTTCCGAACTAATGAAATAGTCATCAAAAAACTGAAATAAATATTCAAACGTTGGTCTTGTAATGGGATCTGTGCGCCAACATTTTGTCATTACGTCGTAGTAAGGATCTGGGCACTGAATGTATGAACTTGATGGTTTCTTCATACGGTAACCTTTTTGAACTTTTCCAATGACATTACGTCCAGTTATAGCTGAAATGTAGATTAAAACATAATTTGTTTCATTTTTCTAATATGATGATTTGAAAAAAATAATGGTGGAAATAAATTAGGACTTTTTCAAATTTGTAATAGTTTGTTATTTTTCAGAATCTTAATAGTAGGATGTCCGAACTAGATTCGAAGAGAAAATATCCACTAACTTGGTCATCGTTTCTGGCTTACAATTAGGCCTAAAAAAATTTGTTTGTTTCCTGTAACCCGACCGACCCATTCAAATTATCCCCGGGTGGATTTTTTTTCTGACAAATGGCAAAACTTCGTTTGATCAATCAGCTGATTCCATGAATCAAATTTAAAAAATAGCTTGTAGCTTAGATTGAGACATAAAATATGTCAGCCTAGTTTACATTTACCTTAAATATAAAGCGTATTCATTATTGTAACAACAGTTTCCCCCTACAAGTTTCTTAAGTTCGTTTTCTGCCGTTAGGCAGCCATTTTGGATGCCATGTTGGGAGTGCACCGTGAATATAACACCTGGTATTTTCAGTCCCGGGATGATTCACCATTCATAAGCAAAAAAAAAAAAAAAGAAAAAAAGAATTTCCGACCTACCGTCCCTTGATTTTTGGGACTGTTACAGGAAACAAACTAATTTTTTTTAAGCCTTACAAAGAAAATCTTTAAAATAAAGCCCTTACCAATAATTATGTATTGTTAAGTGGGCAAAATTGACTTATCACTGAGAATGCAAATTTATATTGAATGTACCAGGATTAAAAATTGCATACATCTTTAACAAAAACATTATTTTTAAAAATGAAGCATACCTTATGGTCACATCATCATGGAAACTGATGAAACTCTTTACCTCATTCATTACATTTCATTAATGAAAAACTTTCAAATAATTAATCTTCAGTTTAAGTTTTAACTTCTCTTAAAATAACGCAGCACTTTCAGTAGAAGCAAAATATACTAAAGAAATCCCTCGAGGCTAACTTTATTTGTATATATATATATATATATATATATATATATATATATATATATATATATATATATATATATATATATAACACCATAAATCTCAGGGAGGTGTTATATGGATTAATAAAAACACATGTGTGATGATCCGTAAAAGCTTAGTGGATCACGGCGTCACGTGATTGAGTAAAATCTTCAGTAAAGTTGGGTGAATACCTATACCAAATATTATAGCGTACGTGAAAAATATATGAATTTTTGAAAAAGTCTCTCTCTCTCTCTCTCTCTCTCTCTCTCTCTCTCTCTCTCTCTCTAAAAAAATCTTACTTGGATATGGTTCATCACCAAAAGTGATTATTTCATAAAGTAAAACACCATACGCCCAGACGTCAGATTTTACAGAGAGTTCTTTATGGTCAGGTATTTCCGGAGCCATCTATTTCATTGTAGTCCTCACTTTTCCTGAATATAAATATTTTTTTTTTTAATCTGGACATTATTCCATAGCTTTAGGAGTTATTGTCCCACATTTTCATGAAAATTAAATATTTATTTTCTTAAATCTCTTATTATTCTTTTGTTTTTTTTTTTGTTTTTTTTTTTTCATCAAATTGAAACTAGGTCGTATTGAAAAGATTGAACATATATAAGCTTTAGCGTAAAAATAAATTAAGCAGGCCACGTGTAAAGTTAAGGAAAAAGCTAATGACGGCGAATTTAGACTGAAAAGACAATTTTTTCCATTAAAATGTATGAGTATTTATATAGTCGTTATCTATTTCATTATCATTATTGTTGCAATGATACATGTAAATCTTCAAATAAATCCCGTCGTTATCCTTTTTTTTTTAATTTAAATTCCAGTAAAAAAAATATCTAAAAAGTAAAATAAAAAATTCTTTAAAATCTTAAATAATTAAATGTTCTTACCAAATTTGACAAAACACACAAATCTTTATTATTATTTTGCCATATAACTTTATTTGATGATATAAAATACTCATTTAAATATCAAGATAAACATGGAATCAGGTTTTCCCCATGGCCGCAAGAAAAATATATTACCCAATTTAGGAATGGGATTGGATCAACTCGAAAGGAAAATTTATCGACCACATATTATAAAATTACAATATCATATTTAGATACATTTAAGCATTGAATATATATTTTGGGATGTCTTCGGTCCTTTAACACACCTGGCCGTGCCGACAAATTGAACACCGCACGTTAGCGCGGTATGATAATTTGTCGGCACGGTCAGGTGTGTTATAGCACCGAAGACATCCCAAAACATGAATTCAATACTTATATTTACATTTTTTAATTTTTCCTCTTTATAATTGTTTATTTCGGTATTCTTTGATGTGAATTTAGCGCCCTTCAAAACTGGTGAGCTTTATAGACGTTAGAGCTGTTTGTACAGTGTAACGTTTGTGACGTCGTAAAGTTAAATAACCCAAACGAACATTGCAAGGGGAAAAAAGTGACAAATTAATTTTAAATGCACATTTGTTGCATTTTTACGTTAATTTAACAGGGTTAATTTTTAAGAATGAAATTGTGTTAATCAGTGTACATTTTGGTGTTCATAAAGTATTGAAAATGCATATAGTTCCTACTGTGTACCTAACGCGCGGTGACAAGGTTTCGCGTGTGTTATAGCTTATAGAGATTTGAACGTCATGGATTTGTAATGGAATTCATAAAGAAAATTACACTGAATGTAAATATTTATATATATTTATATATGTGTGTGCGTGTGTGTGTGGACTTGATATATACAGTTGAGCTTTAAATAAAGGATATCATAAGAGCATTCCGTTAAGGTGAAATATAGTTCAGTGCTGTCTTTATTTCCCATATGAGATTGAGCTTAAAAAATGAGAATGTATGAAGCTAAACATTTTATTTTGAAGTGTTTTGTTCAAAACTTTTGCTAGCTATGCATTGCTGTTTAACACTTACTCTTATTGGTTTCATTCATCGGGTTTCTAATGTCTCTTGAATAGAAGAAACCGGCAATTTTTATGGAAAAATCACATTTTACCATAACATTTTCAGCTCTCAGGTCACCATGTGCTAATCCTTCTTCTCCAAGATAAATCATTCCTTCCGCTATCTAAAACAAAATCCTTCTTAATCCAACAATTCAATTCTTTTACTAAACTGAAAATAAACTTTATCACAAAATTTTACAGAAGTTAGTTATCTTATTCTCAAATTCAATTTAATTGCCAATGCACTTAATCTAAAAAAAAATGCCATGCATTACATTAATTTCGAAAACACTTACCTGTGTTGCAAAATCAATGAGTTTTTCTAATTTCCATTTACACTGTCTGTGAGTGATCAAGCAACTCTTTAAATTCCATTGTGCGCTCTCTGCAATCATCACAACGGGCAATGACATCGTAGAAACGCCAAGTATACTAAGTACCCTTTTATGAGAAAGGCTTTTCAGAATTTCTGCTCCTTCTATAAAATCATTGGCATCTATCCCCCACTGGAGTCCTTTGGGTTTCTTTAATATGAATGCTGTAATATTTTCCTCCGTCCTTGTTTGTCCTTTATTATGAAAAAATATAAATGAAGAAAAGGGAAAATAGACTGAGTGTTGTTTATTCCCCCGTGGCATGTGTTCCAAACTGATACATGTATGTATGAACCATTTCTTGTCTCACTATAATACATAATTCTTTTTAATCAGCCTGATGGGAGCTATCTCGCCTAAAAAAAATTGGTATATTTTGATTGAATGTCATGTTGAAAATATAGTGAACACTACCCAGTGCTGAATATGAGTTTGGAGAAACGAAAAAAAAAATCAATTCAGTATGTAAACACTTACCAAACAATTTGAGTGAAAAAGTACAGTTGGCATTCGACAGACTAATTGTATTTGTTAAAAAGGTCAGTGTACATGTATCAATGAGTTTGCAAATATTTCCGAAATATCTGATTTAAACATGAATCTTGGGATTCTTATTTCATCAATTTGTCAGGCAATAGCTTGTTTTGTACATGTCTTGTTTACATTTTTTGACTTGGATAATGATTAACAAATCGATCAATTGGAAGACATTAACACTAACTGTACATGTACAAGCATATTACTTTATAAATATGGTTGGTGATAGAAAAATTAAAGTCTTCTTGCTTATCATTATATTTTGTCGCATGCATGGCGCATTGGGAAAGAGTATCTACTTTAGAGTAAGGAGTTGTTCCTTACGTCGCGGGGTCGAATCCCACTGTGGGACGTGGAGACCGGTCCGGTCCTTCGGATGAGACAATATAAACCGAGGTCCTGTGTCGCAGTAGGTGCTGGTAGGAAAATATCTCTCTCTGCTCAATGACCCTGAGTGCCGAGCAAATGACAAAATATGTGTCTCTCAATCGGCAAGTGGTGGCGTCTCCATATGAGTGAAAAATTCTCGTGAGGAACGTTAAGCAATATATACAATCGTACAATCAGTATCGTTACATTATTGTGATAGGTTTATCATAAACATGTATTCACTGAAAAATACCGAAATACACTATACATAGAGAAGTGTCAAACTCTGATATTTTTTTAATTCAAAAAGACACAATAAATCAACATAGGGATAAAAAAGAAGAACAAATAACGGCGTTGATATATTTATAGGTTAAACTGACGTCTTCTTAACATTTAGAAATTTTTGAATTAATTTTCTTAAGATGAAAACATAAAAAATTTGTAAATATCGCGGCGCAATTGGAATTCATGAGCATTCTTTAATGTTGTTCGAAGACTTCATTTTCAGAAACTTCAAACACTAGTATATAATAATTATTGAAGTAGGTTTTGATTATCAGAAACTTGAGCATTTTTTGAACAATGGAATATTTGTGCTTAAAATGAAGATTTGTTCTTTACAAAATTATTTTGCGAAGGATTAGACGAGTACCATTGCTTTTCAAAAAGCTTTATCTTCAAATTTTGATAAGTAAGGAGTTGATCCTCACATCGCGGGTTTGAATCCCACAATTGGTAGTGGAGACCGGTCCTTTGGATGAGACCATATAAACCGAAGTCACGTGTCACAGAAGGTTTGGCATGTAGATGCCTCACTGCTTAATGGCACTGAGTGTCGAGCATAGGACGAAATTTGCAGCTCTCCACTGGTAGGTGGTGATGTTTCCATATGAGTGAAAAAATTTCGAGAGGGACGTTAAACAATGTACAATCAATCAATTTTTGACCATTTTTTTTTATTTTAAAAAAAATTGTTCGGGTCTTAAAGTATCCAAATATGATTAACAAAACCCCTTGCATGTATTACAGCACAAGTTCCCCTGCATCTGATGATTAAATTACCCGAGTAAGTGTCCAAAACTGACGTTTTACTTCTATGGATCGGTCGAAGGGATACAATCAAAGCTTTGTCGATCTCAGGACCAGAAAACAAGTGTGTTGGTCTTTCTTGGGGGTATGGTTTGGTCAATGGACAACACAGAGAACCTTGGTATTCTACAATGAATCAATATCTCCTACGTTATTTGTGTATACTCAAATTTATAATGATTTCCATTTATATTAGAGCCTGCAATATATTTCAAAGTTTAAAAAAAACAAAAATCTGTACCAATTTTTACAGTTTTCCTATTCACAGCAAGAAAAATACATGCAACAAACAAAAAAGTGTTTCAGTTCTTAAAAGATAAAAAGAAATGTAAGTTATTATTTATAAGAATTGCATGATTAACACATACTGATGTGGAAAGCCATGCATGCTGACAGGTTGGGGAAGAATTGACCATCAACAATAGAAACGGTCTTGTCAGATATTGTTATCGGGTACTCCTTAACATTCGGCACATCTTCAAAATCCACATATTCGCTTTCTGACAATGTTGGCTGACCAAATCTTACCAGTAATGTATAACCTTTTCCTAAAAAAAAAAGAAACAAAGTTTAATCGATGCTAATTGATTCACGAATATTTTCTACGTATTCAAGGAGGTTTTCAACAAACGCGTTTCTGAAACGAATATCAGAAGTCTCGTTTGTTTAAAGTCATCATTTTGTAAGTTCTATGTTCGATACGATGATCTGGCCTGCCAATAAAATTTACCATCATGTCAAATGCTGACTGACCTTTTTGATACTCGTTATATAAAAATAGATATAATATATCTACATGTAAATACATACGGAATTATCAATGAAATTTTCGGTTTTTTCCCGATGCCGACAAGGAGTACGTGGCGGATGTAACTGGTCGGCAGGGGTGCATTTTTCTCCATGGAACGTGATCCAACCTCTCATTTTTACAGGTATGTTTTGCTTTGCTCTAATATCGTTTTGTTTTGGACATTTGAGCTGAAATACTGTTCGTTATCTTCACATACAGTAGATTCTTAATTTTTCAAGAGAATTTATCGCAAAATGGCTCTTAAATGTCAAATTGCGAGAACAATAATTCGCGAATCCATTGTTGGTCAGGCGATTTTACGTTGGTTACAGCATCATAAAAATCGAGAAATTTTATTTTGCAAATAATTTTTCTTGCAAAATTACGCGATAATTAGCTCTTATTAGGAAACTACAGTATATCATACATCAGTAGTTCATATTTTCATCATAACTTTCTTATGGATTGACAATTTTCAATAATTTCACTCCTAAGGCACTTTTTCTTGAAAACGGATATCCGATACATATAATACACCCGCTTGAAAAGAGGATGGGTGTATAGTAATCAGTATGTCCATCCGTCTGTTACGCTTTTTGGTACCCAGTTCTTATCCGCAACTCCTCTCATACGACTGAATGATATTTGATGAACTTTTCACAAAATTCTTATAATTACATGTTGCCATTAGGCACTTCCTATTTTACTTTTCGATTCGACAAATATTTTGGGTTTCCAATAGCAAAACATGGTTATTGCCATAATATTAATATAGGGGGCGGGGGTATCATAAGTGAGCTTATTGCTGACAGTACCTCTAGTTTTTACCGAACTCAATTTTAGGCAACCCGCGTTTAATTCTTTTTTTTTCTGTACTAGTGATTTATCAATCCTTAACTTTAAAAGACTTGTTGTCAGTTGCATTCTTCCAGACGTCGATTCTCTTTATTGTAAACTATACATTTCTTCCTCAAAAATATAATTTAATGGGATACAAATTAAAAAAGATAAAAACAGAGGCCTTTGAGTGGAATACTCGGGGATCTCCAGTTTTATCCTTCATTTCATACATGTAACCCAAACCCAAAGCTTTTGTTTACTTTGATTTTATGTTTACCCTTTTTAACGTTTTCCTTGTCAATTTCCTTTCAGGTACTCACCCCCCCCCCCCCCTCTCCGTCCCAAAATTGACACATTTCCACTTTAAAAGTCGACTTTATGTGTTTTACAAATAATACCTGTTTGATCAACTATCATAAAAGTCCCATCTGCCAAGCCATCTACACAAAGCAGATCAGTTCCTTTCTGCTTTCCTATTTGCAACCACCACCTTCAATAATATTTTTAATGTAAAACATATAAGATTTTTTTACAATTACGAACATAGACTCATACCCCCATTAACACACATAAACCCACCCTCAGAGAGAGAAAGAGGATAAAAAGCGTAAAATTTACGTCATTTGTTAACATCAATTTCTTTACAGAAAATATAAAGAAGGCGTCTCCTAATGATGTAAAGATATGTTTTTTTTTCCTTAAAAAAAGGGCAAATACTAGTATATTTATGATATATGCTAAATTGAGATAATTGATTCTGAATATTAACTCCTGCAATTCGGGGACATCGTCAAAGTATTCAGAAGCTAGGTAATCTCGAGGAATGTATCCAACATTTCCGTGTTGGAGATGAACAGCCATTAACCATCTTTTTTCTGAGTTCCAGAATCTAGAAGGCAATAAACAGAGCATTATCTAGTATTTTTAGCAAAGAACGCAATTTACAAATTCGAGAAAAACAATAATTATGTATGCATTTTATACATTTTCATCACATCTTTAGACATGAATACTATGGCTATAGCTGAAATGAAATGAAACTGTATTCATAAAAATATGGAAATAACAAACAGTATTCAATATCAAAAGTCCATTAAACATTACAAAATAGAAATGGGAGCAGAGCAAACACGGAAACATCAGAGATGGAATCAGGTGCCATGCGGGAGTGAGCATTCATTGCAGGGAATACTCATAAACTCGAGTTGAATTAAAATTGAAAATTGAACAGTATTAAAGAACAAAGTTCTATTCAAACAATACAGATCGGGTTCAGCACAAACACGAACCTTTAAACATTAGAAGTGAAATCTTGGGGAGTCAGCATCCCCTGCCGACCGGTCATATCGACAGTAAAAAAGTTAAAGAAGCAGAAAGATCAAATTTCAGTCAAAAGCAACTGGTTAAACATTAAAACACTTACTTGGACTGATGTAGAAGTATCCTGTCCTTTTCTTTAAAATAAAGGTTGTTGTGAACTTGCTCATCCTTCTCGTCAAAGTCATATGCACACTGCACAACCAAAGATTCACCTACAGAGAAAGCATACTTTGTATTAAGTACCTATATTCATATTCCTCAGTTCATGAGATTGGTACAAAATATTACTAAATTATCGGTAAATAATTAAGAGAACTTTCTTTAAAGAAACTTCGTGACGGTAGAGGGTGTAAATCCACAAAAGTAAAAATGTTTGCATGACGCAAGCAACTTTTGTTCATGTATTAGTTTAAGAAAGTTACAGATTTTAGAAATTAAAAATATATCATATTCTGTTTTGGAAAATAATAAAATGAAAAAAAAAATTATAAAGCAAAACCCAAACAAAAATATTGCCTCACTTCATCCTCTTTGTTGTACGCATGTGCTGAAAAGTTGAGGCATTTACCAAATGCCATCAATTCAATTATTTAGAGCTAGAAGTCTGATATCCGAGAATTGTGATATGATTCTCAATAAAAATAATTTGATTTAACTCTACACAATTGCTTGCTCACAATCAATGGTTTTTGCGTTTCATGCGAAAAATAAAGGACGTATGACCTTGATATTGTTCATTGAAGATAAAAATTACATGCATGCAATAGATACAATTAATGTTTTAATTCCAGCATTTTACAGTTCTTTTCTTGTTGTACAGAGAAGTTGAGTGTGCTATCTTCATATTCGACATACAATAATTTTTTTTGTTTTTTGTGAAACATGTTAATATATCTTCTTTCTTGTGACTTTGACTCACTGTGAAAATTAAAGTTGGTTTAGTATTTATTCTCTAAAGTAGGACCTTCCTGTTTTAATTTCAACAATAAATTACTTTAACTGATTGTTTGAATGGGAATTAATGTTCATCGATCAGCTTGTAAGACACCCTTAAAAATAGATAACATTCCAAACATGAAATACGAATGATTATCTTTCTTTTTCTGTCAGAGTGTCCTTATTGAGAGCTCTGAGCAGTCAGTTCGATTAAATCTAACATTTGATGGAAACATTATCTCCTAAATCTTATAAATAGTTTGATGTTACAAGTACCGAACAGAATTTTTATATGTTCTATTTTTTGTCAATGACAAAAAAGTATTTTGATGAAAGATAAAATTTACTTATGGGTGTATTTTTCCTTCTACCACACACAAAACTGAGATCTTCTTTTAGTAAGCAAAGGTTCATTCTATTTTCTAATATGTTTTTAATAGTTATGATACTGATATTATTTTTACGAGGGTTGTCCCAGAAAAAAGTCAATATTTCCCATATCTTTTGTTTCAATAGGACTATAAAGATAACTGATATACATCATTGTCAACATTTTCTGAAAAATGCCTTAAAATTTCGCTAAAATATTTAATAATAAATAACTTTATTTTTCTCTTATGAAAACGAATCCAACAAATCAGCTGTCGGTGCACTCACCATTGACAGCGTCATAGCGTAGCTCCTAGTGTTTGTAGATTTGTTCCATTAATAAAATCCATTTAAGCACAAATTCGGAATTGTGTTGACTTTAATTTTATTAACCAATTACACATCCCAAAAAAATCGGAGTTCGTTCTTGAAGTAGACAATTTCACAATCCCGATCAAAATCTAACTGATTGAATTGTTGAACAGCGGTGTTCATGTAGGTTTATGACGTCCTGCTTCTGTCTTTTCAGTTCGTCTAACTCTTAAAGCTTAAAGCTTCATACTCAATCGGATAACCTGTTAAATCAACCTCAGACCCATTCAACTAGAGATAAATCTGTTTCCCATACTCATGCATGTTTGTGATTTTTTGTCGTTGACATCCCTTTGCCCTGTGAAAAGGAGTCATACCTCGCTCAACATATCTTTAGGGTAATTTGTTGTTGTTATTTTTTATTAATTCTCATAATTAACGTTATTACTTATTTTAGAGAATATGGACGTCAAAAATTAGAGTAAATCAAATGACCCATCATACGGAGCATTGTAAATACATACTTTGAAGGGTTTTTTACTGCATGTATGTTCTTTTCGATAAGAATTAGTCATCTTCGAATAATACAAGTTCACAAAAGTAAACTCTGTTTAAAGACCCTCTCTTCACCACTACAAATGTTAACTGGACGTTGAGAGAGAAACGTGAAGACCGGGTTTTCAGATGAGTGAGACCTTTAAATCGAGACTCGTGTTGCAAAAGCTATGGGTGATGGCAAGAAAAAATTTCCCTTACTGCTGAATTGACCAGAATATCAAGCATGGTTGCCGTCCACTGAGAAAATATTCAGTGAAAATTTGTAAATATTACAGAACGAAAGCAAATAAATAGTACTCCTAAACGATGAATAAAAGGAACTAGGAGTTTTGTATTCAGTGACTTTAGTTTACCTGATTCACCGTGAGGTACACAGTCCACTAGTTGTCCAAATATTTCCTTCATCTGGCCCCTGTGTCTTCGAAATGACACAAGAGATGGTGGGGTAAGTTTTAAAACTGGTGGAATTTCATCCCCACTAGTATCAGTTTCAAAAGAAAGGAATTGCAAAGCAGCCCTGCTTTTCAAACGCTCCCTGTTTTTAACTACTTTTTCTATAAGTTTCTTTTTTGACTGCACTACATCTTTTCGGTACGTTTTCAGTATTTCAGCACTTTTTTCTGTGATTTTATCGACTTCTGTCTGATATTCGTCGACCAAAGCGTCGACATCTTTATGCAAATCTTCTCCAATATCTTTTATTTCCTTCTTTAAAACTTCACCAACTTCTTGTAGTTCTTTAATATGAGATACATTTTCTTGTCTATTGAATCATACACCGAAATTTCTTGTTCGCGATTAATTGTGTCTTTTTTTATTACTTCAGTGATACTGTCAATAACATCATAGATGTCTTCCACTTTGTGGTCTTCATGCTTAAGCATGCAATAAGGGCACAAAGCTACGCTGCAATCTAGGCAATAACTTTCACATATCTGATCAGTGTGGTCGGCACATCCTGGGGGAACAACTTCATTGATTACATCTTCGATAGGCTGCACATTGTGTCTTTTCTTTCTGTCTGTTTTCATATGAATTCCAACACAACTACTGCAGAGATCGATCATGCACGATTTACATCGGAAGTCAACATTACTTTTGCAAAACGTGCATCGCAAAACATCCTGAGCGCCAGCCATCTTAATTCGTAAATGAAGTGATGTTCCTTAGAAGCTACAAAGCACACTTTAAATGAATAACAGCCATGTCAATCATTATTTGAAAGTTACCATATATAAAAGTCAGTACCCATAAAGAGCGCTGTGGATGATAGACAGCTCGTATCATATTAGGTTGCAGATGCAGTTTAAAAGTAAATTAACAGTTGTTTAGAAAATGTGCATCTTTTTAGGGACTTGCAACAAAAACCTTGGATAATTGGAGCCGAGTCCGAAAAATCTGTAGTATTGTTCCCATTAATCATGGATGATTTAATGTTCAATTAACTTATTTTTTCTTGTACCAAAAAATCCTTGGACCTTTGAATTACTTAGTACAAGCAAAAACCATCGACTAACTAAAATGCTCTTTAACAAGAGAGTGATAATTGGAAACTGACAAATTTGATTCAACAAATTCGTACATTTTGTGTTCACGGTCTACTGGGTACACCTAAATTTTCTACCTACAAAATCTCTAGATACAAGAAGCTTACGGGGGGGGGGGGGAGGAGGGCTTTGTCCTCGGGGTGCTCACCATGCAGGGCTTTTCATCAAGACCCCCTGCTTACATATTGTAACACATCCACTTACTTTAATTCCTAGTTGTACACCTACAATGCTTTTATAATTCTTTCAAAATGTCTAATCAATTTTAACTAAAAAAGATATTTTTTTACAGAATTTTACAGAATTACATGAAACTGGACTGATCTTACATTTAAGGTAATATACTAATATACTATTGCAGACAATTTCAAAGAAATATAGTTTTTAGCATCTGTATCGTGTAGATTCGTACTTAATTCAGCATATGATCTTTACGATGGACATCTTAGTACAAATTCGATACATTTATAATGCAATAGATTAAAAAAAAATGCGTAGACACTTTGGTTGAATAAAAATAATTTAAGAATGAAATTAATTCAATCTATAAGATTTTGAATATAAGAATCAAATAATAAAAAAAAAAAACAGTCCCAATTCTTAAACATGGAATGAAGTGCAGATCGGGAGCTTGTAGGTTTGGAAAAAAATAAGATGGTTTCAAGTCAGCTAGACTGACACAAAATGGATATTGAACCATTTAGTGCACGCAAAAAGGTTATGCTGCCTCGTATACATGGATTTCCAAATATCACTAACCATAAGTTCCTGAAATGTTCTTTTATATACTTACTAACTAAAATACATGACTGAACGACATGCAAGTAGACCAAATTGTTTAACCAACTAAAATGAGAGTAAAAAGATGATGACATTGTCGGGGAAGACGGCTATTGACAACATTTATGGGAATTTTTTTTTACTTGTAGTAGTAAAAGTACATACGAAAGCTCGATGAGCTCATTTTCGTAGGTAAAAAAATGAATTTTTCGCGAATTAATGCGTAACTTTACCACTAGTAAATTAAGACATCAATTATTTTGGACAAATAATTATACACTGTAGAAACATAACTTAAAAGTGAATGAACAATTTATAATTTAATAAGCTTAACGGGTCATATAATATTGTTTAAATAACAATTATAATTGGATATTGTTAGTTACAAATTTATTGAGGAGGAGGGGTCTCTAAATTTTCTCCAATATTTATATATTGAATTATAGAGAAGTTCGTGGACTACTTATAAAAATAAGAACTATGAGGGTATACAGCAGAGTTTGTACACTTTGAATTGTCAGTTTTTTTCGTAAGCAATGGAATGACAACGTGGTGCAACCTCAAAATAGGATATTGTATTTCCACAGTGAATCCAACGGAGACGAATGGAAAACTGATATCCAATTTTCACAAATGCGGTGGGACACAATTGACAAATTTACCTCATCCATTTTGTCAATTTTCTGAGATCTTCATCTCTTTAAAATAAAATTATTTCAAATTCTCTAGAAAATGTATAAAAAAAACACCGGAAAGGGGTGATTTTCCCCGAAATTAATAATCTTGAACTTTTGGAAAACTCGAATCAACTTTGAATTGCTTGAACGGTGTTGAGGAAGAAAAATTGTGACGGTTAAAATGGATTCAATAGCAAGAAAGCTTAAATATATATCTAGTGATAGTCCAAGATCAAAGTAGCCGTTTGCTTATCCTTGAAATGAATAAACCTGATAACAAAATCAATAGAAAGTTGACACTCAAGGAAATGGCTGGTTAAACAGCAAAAGTTTCGCGTTATAACGCGTTAAATCGCGAAAGTTTCGCGTTAAAAGGTGAAAGTTTTGCGTTATATCGCGAAAGTTTCGCGTTAATACGGGAAAATTTCGTATTGTAACGCGAAAAAATTATTTTTTGTTTACCTACGAAAAAGAGCTCATTGGGCTTTCGCAAGTACACGATATGAACGCATGGCTTCTAGGATGTTGAGATGAGAGTTGAAGCATAGGGGGAAATAAATCGTCATGGAAAATGCAAATGCTCTTGCGAAATTAAGAATGATAATTCACTTTGAACAAATTAACGTGAAGCCATAATTAAAGACCACATGTCACCAATCATATTTTTTTTTAATCTGCAGATAAGTTAATATTTGTCAGTTGTTTTTATAAACCTTTTTACCTTATGTCATGATTTATGAATAATGTTTCAAAGGTTCATATTTTTAAGGTTTGTAAAACTTACCAAATCCACAAAAATCTCGGATAACTGATGTCGAGTATCCCGGCCTATTTCTTCACACCTATGTAATTGCTGCTTGATATACATGTATATAAAAAGAAAGATATCAAGTAAGATTGATAGTATCTTATTTAAATAAAAATATCTTTTTATTTATCGGAAAAAACACTTAAAAATTAAAAAGAACCCATTAGATCGAAGGCACTTTACAAAGGAAAAAAACACTTATAGTTTATCTGAGGCAACTTTAGGTTTTACTCTTTACTTCCTTTATAAAACAAAATTAAGATAACAAACAGTGATTGATCTAAATAAAACACAAAATTTCAGATTCCTATGCAGTGTTTAAAATACTAACCCCAGTATTCCTGATAAGGAGTAAGCATTCCCTATCGACCGGTCACAAGTCCTTGAACCAAATACATTAATGAAGTAGTCAGAATATTATTTTGCAATCACATTTAGTATCAAAACCTAAGCCTGTCGATTAGCACGTGGTTTAAAATACGTCATTAAAGCTTGGACCAAAACAGATTCACGTATTAGTATTTTCATTGGTCAAAATTTCATTGTTTGAAGAGACAATGTATTTGTGTGATTTACTTTCGTGAATGAAAACGGTTGGTTATTGAATAATTTTATGAATAGAGATAATAAAACACTTTCTGTTGAGGACATAAAATGGTTGGTCTCTTCATATCTAGAAAATCACCGTAACAAAATCAAATTTTATAGTTGATAATATATTTGCTTACAATGTCATTTTGACGGCCATAGTTTTACAAAGGAAAACAAGACATAAACGAGGTTGCTGAATTTTCTATATGATGAACTAATTTAGTAGCACAATCCCTCTGTTTAAACAATTTAAACTCAAAGTAGGCTCTTAAATATCGCATAAATTGAGAGACAGAAACGATATGAGCTCAGAAAACTTAAATATAAAATATACATGTAACTAAATGAAATGGAATGATGAAAAAAGACTAAACACCCGCACTGAGGTTTTTGGCTCTTAATATTATTACATTCAGCTCTTGGTACCAATGGATGAAGGCTTCATTATTCTAGCATTTACCAAATGTCGGTTTTCAACCCAGTCGCTCCTATTAAGTAGAAATCAGAATTCAAAAATGGTTATAGATACATCTACAGCCTAGTACAGGACGCTACCATCTTTCTTCAAAAATGTGATAAAGATAGTGAGAAAACGGTAAGAGGAGGTGTTTAGGGAACTACATCTTTGTTATCATTCTGACCTTTATCTAACTTCTGCAATCTTAATGCAAATCTTAAACACCATATTTCAAGTTGAACTCTTTACCCTGCTTTTCCTACAGATATTCCTAACCTGCTGTTCCCACCTTTTCTTTAATTTAATTAACTAACATTACCTATATCTTGAACATCTAAAACAAAATTAATACCCATTAAGTGTTTAATCTGCTATCAACTACAGATAATTGTCCTTGTCGCCCGCGTGGCGTAGTGGTTAGAGCGTCTGATCTAGAGTCGCGAAGTAAGGGGTTGATCCTAACGTCGCAGGTTTGAATTTCACTGTGGGACGCTGAGACCAGTTCATCGAATGAGACTGTCTTAACCGAAGTCCCAAGTCAAAGTGACTGATGGCACTAAAAAGATCCCTCCCTGCTTAATGACCTGAGTGCCGATTATAGGACAAAATTTGCAGCTCTCCACCGGCAAGTGGTGGTATCTCAATATGAATGAGACTTTCTCGAGAGGGACGTTAAACGATATAGAATCAATCATTCTAATGCAATTGTTTTTGTAAAACACTCTTTGATTGGCTAATGCACTGATGTTTGAAGCAGTAAAACGAGCATTAACGAGCGTGAAAGCTTTTTCATTGTGACGCCATAATAGAGCGACGCAAAAATACAATGCTCCGTGACGTATTTCATGTAACAAAATTCAACAAAATAAGACGTAAACAACAAACAAAATGCATGAATTGCATTAGAATGGGAATAACTAAACTTCTTATTTAGTATTTGCGACCGTTAATGCTGATTTAACGGTCGCAAACATCCGTTTTACCGGCTCCGCTTACGCGTCGCCAATACCAAATTAGAAGATAGTTATTTCCTAAATCAACTACAGTCTTGCTGGGCATTCCATTACTATTGGTGTTAATATACTTGAAAATGTCGGCCTTAGAGCAATCATCTTAAAGGATACGGTGGGCGATCTATGAAGCTAAACACCTGAACACATTGGACAGTGTGAAGATTTTAGAATTTGTCAGAAAAATCTTGTTAGTTTAAACAGTTTAAATTTTTTCAAGTCAAAATGTAGGGCATTTTTACACTCATTCCTTTTATTTTCCTCGCGATAAATAAAAAAAATGCTTTGTTGATATCAT